AAAAAATGGGCTGTAAAAGAAATGTCGAGTGTCAGCGAAACACGGGCATTAAAGGCGCTTCGCGATGGAAAAATGCGTGGCGGTGGTATTTCATTATACTCTATGTATCTCGCGGGAATCCGAATAGGCGCGCGCGCGAAACTTTTGCGACTCCGATAAAGAGAGGTAAGGGTAGAAATTCGCATTTTCATTTCGTCGGCACTTTTTATTCAAATTCGGAATTATTCTCGTAAAGCATCGCCGCCCGTGTGTACTCGTTCGCGTATTAGCTTATGCAAAGCGAGAGCGTTGCGAGGCCCTTTTTCGGAACGCCATTAGGCGGGAATGCAAATGAGAAGCTCGCATCGGTTACCTTTCACCATTGACGGGCGCAGGGAAATGCAATTTCGCCGAAGATTTGATCGATTACCGGAGGAGAAAAGTGGGCAGAGAGTCGGACACGTCGAGTCGAATGCAAGCTAAACTAACTAAAACTGGTTCCGCGAAGCATGGACCCGCGTGAACGGTTAAAAATAATGTTGAAGAGCCGCTTATTACAAAGTAGCTGTCGTCTCGGAACGTGCGAAACCCGTGAACAAAAAAAAACATCACTCGGAAGGATCCGTCAGAGCAGATGTCTGTTTGATGTCCGGTCGCCATCTCAGACGTTTAGAGAAAATTATTGAGCTCTTGCGCGCATCGATCGCTCGCTATTTGCCTGTTCGTGTCTCATTTCTGCGCGCGAAGCGTGCTTCGAGTATCGATCTAAAGTCAACGGACCGAGAAGTACGTAGGGACGTACTTCCGAGAGAGCCCGACGACAGAGAGACAGGTTAAACTTCACATCCTCGCTAAGAGTTTTCATGCTTTTCATGAATAATAAATTGAACGAGCCGGAGTTAAGGAGAGAGAGAAGACCCGTAAAAATTTGGCGCACTTAAAGTTATTATCGCGATATCGTGGCCGCTGCACCCTCGAACATGGAAGGAACTTTGACAACTCAGAGATTATTAAATAGATTCGCTATCGCGCAAAAATGTATAAAATTAAAGAAGCAATTTATCAAGAATTTTGCATCCTATATTATTATAATGTATTTAATTTTCAGAAATTTTTTTCATAAATTGCATCTACAATTTCAAATTTATAAAAGTTGCCGCACAAGTTGTTTAAATTAATAATTTATAAAATATTCATTTAATAGTTATTATTAGTAGTAGATGTTAGTCATCAAAAACACAGCAGCGTGCAACTTGTGCTTTATAAAGGTATAGTTGTCGCACAACTTTTGTTAACACTTGTTATCGATGGCAAGAAAGTGAAATAGAATGAACAACTTGCATGGACTGAGTTATCCCTATCTGCCATAGTTATATTTATAACAACGTAACTGTGGGTAGGTGCTATTAACGTGCCCTTACAGATAAGTGGAAACTTATCGATCATTTCCAACTGCGCGTTCGTGTACGCCACTTGTATTTATGGAGAATGATTTTTATAAAGAACGGTACAATTTGGCAATATTTGTATGAAGATCTGATGATGCGACCAAGCAATATATAAAGTGTATATTTTATTTTATTATTATTTTGTAGAAGCGACAATGCATGTCGTTTTAATTCAGTATCGATAACACAATATTGATAATATCGATTTACTACAATTTTGCTATAATAAATTTATGAAATTAGAATTAATTATCAATCTTTTTGAAAAAAATATACCTGCATAATTTAAAACATTTTTTTTTAATTGGAAAAATTAAATTAAGTATATAGTTATAAGAATTTTATGAAAGAGAAAAATTGCAAAAAAATAAGACATAAGTAATATTATAATTTCAGCACATTCGATCTTTTTACAAGACAATCTTAGAAGAATATATTAAGACGGATACAGAACAAACATTTTTCAATTAACTTTATTCTCTTAGCTCGCATCAATTGTAAAACAAACTAAAAACGTGAAAATTGATGATTTTTTTATATCAGAAATATCGTTTAAAGTCCTTTTTATAGCTACTATACTTCTAATTGTAATCGTGGCTCTTCCTGTCATCGCCAGTTAACGTCCAGCGTCTATTGACACAAGGTTCAACGCGTGTTACGAGCGTAAAGGTTGTTGTTACGATTATTACTATCATTATTGTCGTCACTATCGCTGCGTTATCGCAGCGTATAGATATCGCCGCACAGTTGCACGGTTTGTTATCGTAACTTATTAACTGACCTGACACTTTAAGGCGACAAATAAAAGTTCATTGACCGTTTTTCCCCGGAAATATCAAGAATATACTAAACATCTTTACAAAATGACAATATCGAAAGTGTTCGAGCCTTTCCTCACGTTATTATATTTTTATCGTATATATTTTTAATGTTTTTGTTAGATTCGTAAAAATTAATACACGTGAATGAATAAAACGCAAAAAGATCTTGTCTATTTATATTTCATTACCTCACGTATAGTTTTAGAGCATTTTATTAATCTTCATTTATATATTATTGAACAATCTTTTCTGCTTGATTTGCTGAGCATTTATTGACTGGGCAAAATTATATACCCGTTACTTCAGTGTTAAATTTAAGTATTTATAGATGCAGATGTACAAAGTAAATTGTGCGCAGAGTCTGTGCAGGTGGCCAGATAGCCCCGACGACTCTTTACTTACGAGCGATGCATATTTTATGCCGAGCGAACACGTGAGACAATGAACTGCCGGAAGACTCGACCGCTTGACAAACTGCGAAACGATTTTCGCGTTACACCGTAAAATTTTGGCCGATCGCCATTATTTCCTATGTACGTGTACCAGGTGATCGATGGGTCGCTCGTGAATGCGTGCGAGACCAAGCGCGTTTGTTTTAAACTACGCAGTTTTTTTAGCGCAAGCTTCTTTCCTTCTCTCTCTCTCTCTCTTTTCCTCTTTCTCGTTCATTCCCCTGCGGTCGTTCGCCAAGTACTGGATTAAAAAAAACAAGTTCGATAGCTAAAACCGCGTAAACTGTTTGCATCACGTGAATTGTAAACAATACCGAAAAATCCAGATATAAGTAACGCTGCGGCTCTGTACACATTCTGCAATCGAATGTAATTTAAAAAATTTCCGTGATTCTTCTGCTTCCTCGCCGATAATTTTCGGCTTAAATTATACTTTTCGGAATTTCGATCAAAATTTCTACAATTACATTTCTTAGTTATACTCTGTAATTACCCATTTTTTTCATCTCTAATCACGAAATTAATATCGAGCTTTTCGGGACGCATTCACTCTTCTATGTGATTCCGATGCATCAGAGATGCGTCGCATTATTAATTTATTAACCCGCCGAGAACGCGCATCGAGTTTGAGTAGGAAAAGCTATACAGCTCCTGCGCTATTGGTAACGCAATTTGCGAAACGCATAATGTTGCTTTTATGTGACGTTATACATGCACGCGCGCATACATATACGCGCTCACGGTGTGTATACATATGGCAGGAACGTGATAAAGGCATCTGCGCAGACAGATAAACATTCATTCCGTCCTACGTTAATTACACGCTGCGTTATTTATCACGCTCATGTATATAATGCAAGGGTCAAAACAAATTTATACGGCCGCGAATCGAATTGTTCAGCGCATTACTTTCGCGTCGTTCTCATAATTGATGTGATCGGCCGAGCGCCGCGATTCTCAATTAATATTAACGCGCGTCGTGTTATTAGTGCTATGAATCATTCGTACAGCGATCTGCGGGCGGCGCTATTATCTACGAATCACTGAACTAACGTTGCTACCGACGAAAATTATAATGTCGTAAGATCTCGATCGCGCTCGTCCGATTTGCGTGACAAATGTACGAGTTAGATCGCGTCACTAAAATCAATAATGATGCGCTTACATCTTTATCGAGAAAAAACGCAAGAAATTCATCTTTATATATCCGCAAATTGATAATATTACATAGAATGTCGCAAAAGAACAATTAGGTTTATTATTCTCTTAAAAGAAAATTATTATTACAAAGTAGTTATCTTTTTTTAAAATAGAGATTAATTAAATCATTTTTACTTGTAATTATAATATAATCAATTATCAGCTGTTTGCTTATGTTTCAATAGTTAACATTAATAAATTTCTATAACGAGATAAAAGTTGAAACGTACGTTTCGAAATCAAGGGTCGAAGTCGAAAGATAAGATTTCTCTCGTGACAGAAAGCATCATAATTTAACGAAATCCGTAACAAACCAATTAAGAGAGAGACAATCGATACGACCGAGACCCTTAAAATTTCTATTAACCCAAAAAGAAGCGAGGCATCATTAAAAACATTCGGATAAGCTAATCCGTTGATAAGAAGGGTTCAGAAAGGGCTTCATGGGAAAGGGCTTTCGAACCTAATGGAGCAAGGCCTATGTTTATGTGGCTTATCTGTATCGGCACCCTCTGACATGTGAGTTATCAACCAGATTATCGAGCTTTATTGGGTTTCTTGTTGATTTTCAAATTTACATAAATCTCGGTGTATTTAACTATGCGATTAACGCAGGATTGCGACGGTAGAAATTATAAGTTCGAAATTACAAATATAATATCGAACTTTTCGCTTCTACTTTTATGTTTTTATTTCGTTTTCTTAAATTAGTTATTTATTAATCTCTATAATTTCTTTCAAAAACTTCGGTTATTCAGAAAATAATTAATGATATTTTTGTAACAACTTTTAAAAGAATTATACAACATGTTTATATAATGTATGTGTTATAAAAAAATACCACACAAAATTCATCATAAGTAATCAAAAAGTTATGATATACATACATACATATATATATATTATATAGAAATCTTATTAATTAAAATAATGAATATTCACGTATTGGCAATATCATTTCCAATTAAAGTTTTGACACAAGATTAACGAAACTGCAATTATTATTGAAATTGAAAAACTGCGATTGTATAATATATTGCGCTAGAAATTAAATCGATAAGAATATAGTGACTACAACTATTTCAATTTGATTGTTTCAGGGAAGGGACGGCTTTATCCGGCCTACAGTCTAAGTGGCAGCGAGGGTGAAGATAATACCTCTAGTTTGCGTAGTCGCGCCTATCCGCAAAATAATCATCAAACCAACCAATCGCACCATAATCATTATAACACCAGTCAGCATAAGCAGCGCGTCTATCAACAACAACAACAACAGCAACATCCCCTGTATCATATGCCCGGCAGTGGTGCCGGCCTCAGTGACACACCAACTTCCGGTAACGCATCTGACGAAACTCTTACTGATAGTGACCTTATCACTGTCGCTCGTGATTCTGCGCTGCTCGTTCATAACGGTGAGTAAACATGCTTCTTCGCGATTTGTCTTTTCTCGATGTTGCTTGAATAAATTTAATTCGCGGCTATCGATTGTTTATTAATAACGGAAAAATACAGGAATTATTCTTCGATTTGCTGACGGTGAAAATAACGTCGGAATTTATTCTGACACATCATAAAATATTTCTAGTTATGGAGAGAATGAATAGGTGCTTTTCTACTATAGTACCTCATATAACTGTTTGTATATTTCGAATGATCATAGAGAATAATTCTTTATGTTTCTCATAAAATTTTATATTCTTACGTATCATCAAATATATATTGTACGCTATTTATTTTCTAATGTGGATGTGCGCGATAAATGCACCTACACACATTAACTGCTGCAAAATGTCAGGAACTCGCTGAAGTAATAGCGGTAATGGTTCCCTTGCGAACTAAGGCAAAGAGTACTATAAAGACCCGACGACAGAGTCTCTTTATTGCCCGAATGCCTCGCGGATCTTCTGCCTCATGGCGATCCATTTACTACGAAACATACGGGAGAAGTTGATTTTCTCCCGATATACTCGAACGAGATTCCGGGGATGAGAGCGAAAGACGACAGAGGGATGGAAATGAGTCCGGTAATTCGTAAACAAGCAAAGAAGGGACTCAAGGGGTTCCGGAAGCAGCGTAGGATAGCGAGATCCGGGGACTCATCCTATAGGGCGCGATCGAACGAAAGACCACGAAGAGGCAAAGTTTCGAGAATCGAAATCAGGCGTGGAAAGGAGACGTCCCCCGGGTATAAAACTTGCTCGTGGCATCGGGGGTGGAAGCAAGGGGGTGCGTAGCGAGGATTGTTGCAAGCAGAAGGGAGGATAAGAAAATGACGAAGAAGAGAAGAGAAGGAAGGATGCTCAAATATGAGAGAGAAACGAGTATTCTCGAGCGTGACCCTCGACTACACTCGACTGCCGTCGCCGCCGGGTGTAGGAGACAAACAGTTGCGTATCCCCTTCCGCTTTTGGTAATCAGCCGGACATACATAAACATGGCGGTCGCGGGAAAAAAACGGAAAGGAAAATGGAAAATGGATGAGAAGCGCGCGTTCACCACGGACATAATACTCTCGAAGGAACCTCGATCGTCTCTGCGCGCGAACTCTTACGTCTACGTATCAATAACATTCCAACCTGAGATCGAGGCGCTTTCGATAATGGACTCACGTAAGGATACTTTGTCACCGATGTAGAATTTCTCCGCTCAACATATTAAAAGGTCCGAAAGCCCGGAATGCCCGCACGTGTGAAAACCTGATCATCATAATTCACAATATATTGCGAGCCGAACGTGTAACATGCGCTTCCTTATTACGCGAGTCTTCGCTTAATTCATAGTGACCTCGTTTCAAATACTTTTATTTATCAGACATTAATAAAAAATATAGAAAAATAATTCTTTGTACTTATGCAAGTTTCATGCAAAAAATTTCTTGCAAAAAGAGCGTATAATCAATATAATAATCGACTATCTTATTTCAATTCGATCAAACAGATCATATTAAAACCGATAAGGGGAGGGAAATATTATATTTATATTCTATCTCATCGATAACCTAGATCTATAGAGATCTACGAATTCAATGCAACTTCTGATACTCGAGAGAGAAGCAGTCTTGCGAACTGATTTCGGCTTAATCTCGGCCGAAATCGTATATTCGTGCAATTTCTGTTTACCGACCGCAAAGTTGAACGTGTCGCGATCTAAAGAGCAAAGGATGAAGGGAGAGTCAGTGAAGGGACGCGAGCGACGACGACAACGATCGGATTTGCGAGTCCGTCGAACACTCACGTTCGTTGAAACCAGCTGCGGAGCTGGTTGAGACGACGCGGCCGAGATTAGTCTGTCTTCGGCGTGCAAGCGTGCCCGCAGTCGGTGAAGGGTTACCCCGTATTTAATTAAACTGTTACTTCGCATTGATTGCCAAACTCGGGCCCTGGGCCGCTCGCTGCAGAGAAGATTATCGAAGTTTGCCGCGCTTCCACTCTCATAGGCCATATCGAGAGGCAGCCAGGCAATCTCGCCAACTTCCAACCACGCGATAGCACCGCTAACCTTCTTTGTCAGGCCTGCTTTATTACTGTCTCCCAACATCAGTATCCGAGTAAAAAAACTTGAGGATGCAAGCACAAAGAACAAGCGGTAATCTCTCGATTATTTCGTAAAGCGTAGTTGAGATGACACTTCAACTATACAAAAGGATCGGAAAAGAAGATAGATGTAAGATTAATTCTCGTATATATATTGTATATCGTGCGAGAAATAAAATTTTAAAAAATTTGCATATCTCTAGCCTCATAAAGGTATGGAACAGTGTCAAATAAATTCCATCGAATTGCTTACGAACGATGTAATAGATAATATGCTGAATGGACGACAAACGATAATCGCGTAGCGTTGCCGCAAGAAGCTAGTTAGCGGGAGTTCCGGTTTGCATCGTGATAGTGACAGCAAGGTAACAAACTGTTAACTAGCTCCTCGTGGCAAGTAACTCTGCGGCACGGCTAGGGAAAAGAAAAGTTCGGAATGCGACGCTCGTCCCGTACGATCACCCACTGCAATGATTTGACGCGGAGGATAGAGTACTTGCAGCTGCAGTTTCCCGCAAGTTTGCGCGATGATCTTGGCAGGATTGTAATATCTAGCCTGTAAGCGGTTTAGTGATACTTTGGGATAATGTACCTCAGTGAACACTAGATAATCCATGTATTGTGTTAATACTATCAGCTGTGTACGTGTCCCGCTATGTTGATAATAACACGCGACAGGCGACGTTACCGAAATCAACAATTAGAAATATATACTTTTATAAAAAAAAAAAAAAGATGTACTTTATTACAATCTATTGTATCATCTGAATTAATTAAAATCCTCTATTATATTATTTATATACGTGTTTCTATGTACACATATACGTATATATTTTATTAAAACAAATCTACTTTACCATTATTTCAATAGTATTGCATTTGAATTAAATGCTGCAACTCTTTTGCTACTTTGCAAAGTATTGATTATTATTTGATTACCATTGATATTTGTGGTATTTTTCTAGCAAGTTTGCTAGGAAGTTTGGCCTTTATAATATTCGATCGCATAGATAATTTCGAGAGTATGTAAGGATGTATCAAGTTGCGTGTATAGTTGCAGGGTGTGCTTCGCGTCATAATCTTGTCGGGAATATTGGTAGTTGCGTGTATAAATGGTCTCGGAGCGACCGAGATAACTACGGGGTAGCCGTTCACTACGATGGGTTCGCTACGAAGAGTTTTCGCGCCCTCCCTCCGCGCTCTGTTCGCGCTACCCTTGCTCGCTGAAACGCAAGACCGGCGTCTCTTGTCGATCGACCGAGGGGGTAAGCGAACGCGAGCAAGAGGGAGTTTCATTTAAGTTAGAATTGCTTCTTCCGTAGCGATGATGGGCCGCAAATTGGGCGCGAAACAGAACGTGAAGAAGAGAGGAGAGTCTCGAGAACGCGGAGACGAAAGACTTCGAAGTGACGAGAGAGAGAGAGAGAGAGAGAGAGAGAGAGAGACCGGGAGCGATGAAAGGGCGCGAAGGAACAAGGAGGGATGCATGAACGGGAAAGGATATATTGATTTTTTATTTATGCGTCTGTCTAGTCGGCGGAGATGTCAGCGGGCCCTACTATATACTATCAAATTGGAAGACAACGTCGCGATGCGTACAGAGTGTCGCTTGCTTATCGCGCGAAGCTGTATCGTCAGTCGTAGATAAAACGAAGCGTAAACGAGCGACTAACTCGCCAGAGCGGAACCGATCGTTACAAGAGATATTCGCGATGATAGACGCTCGTTAATGCGAGGCGACGCAGACGAAATCCGATATTCTACGTGAGCGACAAAGGACATCCTTCTCTCTCTCCTCGCTCTCTCTTTCTTTTTTTTTTTTTTTTTTTTTTTTTACCTGTCGAAGTGCCCGGTCATCGCGTTCTTCGATAACGAGCCGTGATTATCCGAGCGGCGACAAAAGCCCGCGTTGCTAAAGGGTATTTGATAAATTGTCGCGCGCGCTAACATACTATCGATGATATAAACATATACGCGTGACAAATATATTGTTAAGATTATCGCAACAGAAACGATGACGTCCAGTCTTTATAATAACAATAATAAAAATAATAACAAAGGGTACGTTATAATAAAAATAATTATACGCAATCATCTGCTTAAGCACGCGCATTGTCGAGAAGAAGTTATAACGGGAAGACAAGACGCATTAATTATCCGGGAAATTTATAATACGCGAAGGAAAGGAATTCTCCAGACAAAGGAGAGAGACGGAGAAAAAGAAAGAGAGAGAGAGAGAACGCGTTTGTGATAAAGCAACGAGAGTTCTTCCTTCGTGTGAATATCGAAGGTAGGAAGGAGACGGTGGATTAGAGTGCACGACCGGAATTTCGCGGCGAAATCTATTCCTGCGCCGGAACTATGACCGACCTGCAGGAGGAGGGCTTCAACTAGAACGAATGAATACCCGGAGGGAGAATTACTCCGTCTCATTAACGTGGCTCGCGATTCCGCGCGCGCGACGGAATCGAGAAATTCGTCACGCCCGCCGACCAGCGAAAATCCTAATTCATTCGGTCGCCTGACGATGAAAACGACGATTCCGCCGACCGTTAATCAGGGAATGATGTAACGCGATTTATTTCGTCCCTTTCGCGGCACACAAACGACGATTATGCTATTATTATTTCTCGTCTCTTTCGCGTCGAAATTATGTTTCTTTCCGCAAGTACGGAAAGCAGGATCTATTAGGATGATGAAGATGATACAGTATTTGCTGCAATGTAACGCGATCGATCCCAGAGTACATGCTAATCTCTGGTATCACACATTCATACGCACGAGAGAGTTACGATGCAATTAACGATCTATCTAATTCCACGCGTGTACAAGTTTAGTGATGTATGTCAGTGATACTATTAGCAATATTAATTAGTGACATTAGTGA